CAGATATCTGATGAAGTCAACTATTGGAAAGCCATAGTTGAAATGAATGGACTTGATATTGGAGGACCCAGTATCAATGTTCTTACCGAAGAAGAACAGAATATGATTACTTTTGCTGATCAAGTTTCTAATCCAAAAATGAAATTAAAATTCTTAGAATTATGTTTACAGCATCAGAAGAAGGAAGAAATTCTTCCTCCCCAACATTACAGTATGAAAGAAGTTTTTCAAAGACTTCAACCTATTGCTGAAGAAAAACCTTTAACAATCCAGGATTTAAAAATGGAAGTAAATGCTTTAAAAATTGAAATTAAACATTTACAAAATTCCAATATCACTATTAATTCTGAAATTAAAAAGATTAATAGTAAGATACAGAATAAAGAAAAAGGAATTCAAAATGAATCTACTTCTGTTTCAGAAACTAATGAGCCTGATTATCTCATGCTCATGAATTCAGTTACTTTTCAGAAATGGTATATTAGAATTGCTTTCATGATAAAACCAGATTTTATTATCAAAGATGCTATTGCCCTTGTAGATAGCAGTGCTGATATGAATTGTATTCAGGAAGGATTAATTCCTACTAAATACTTTCATAAAACAACCCAATCACTTACAAGTGCAAGTGGTAATTCTTTATACATTCAGTATAAACTTCCACAAGTATTAATTTGTAATCAAGGATTATGTATTCCTACTTCTTTTGTTCTCATCAAGAACATGTCTCAAGCCATAATCCTAGGAACACCTTTTCTGTGCTTACTTATGCCAATTTCTAAAATTGATTCTATTGGCATACATTCAACCTTAAATAATCAGCCGATTATTTTCGAGTTCATTACAGAACCCTACACAAAAGAATTAGATCAAATTAAGGATCTAGTAAATTTCAAAGAAAAACAAATTAATTTCTTACAAAAAGAAATTAGTTTTTTAACTACAGAACAAAGACTCCAGCAGTCTTCCTTTCAGCAAAAAATTAAATCACTTGAACAAGAATTTCAACATGAAATTTGCAATGATATTCCAAATGCTTTTTGGAATAGGAAGAAACACATAGTTTCTCTTCCTTATGAACCAGGTTATGATGAGCAGAAAATCCCCACTCGCGCTCGCCCTAGTCAAATGAAAAAAGAGTATTTAGAACTCTGCAAAACAGAAATTAATACTCTTCTCCAGAAACAGCTCATCAGATCCAATCGATCTCCTTGGAGTTGTACAACCTTTTATGTAAACAAAAATGCCGAAATAGAAAGAGGTGTGCCAAGATTGGTCATTAATTATAAACCTCTTAATGAAGCCTTACAATGGATAAGGTATCCAGTTCCCAATAAAAAAAGATCTGTTAGATCGCTTACAGGATGCGGTCATATTTTCTAAATTTGGCATGAAATCAGGATATTGGCAAGTCCAAATTGCTGAATCAGATAGATACAAAACTCCTTTTACAGTCCCCTTTGGGCATTTCGAATGGAATGTCATGCCATTTGGTTTGAAAAATGCACCATCTGAATTCCAGCATATTATGAATGATATTTTCAATCCTTATACAGAATTTTCCATTTGCTATATTGATGATGTTTTAATTTTTTCTTCATCAATTGATCAGCATATGAAACATCTTAACATTTTTAAGCATGTTATCATCATAAATGGATTAGTGGTATCTGCATCAAAAATGCAACTTTTTCAGACAACAATAAGATTTTTAGGCCATAATATTCATAATGGCACTATTATTCCTATTAATAGAAGCATGGAATTTGCCTCCAAATTTCCAGACGAAATTAAAGATAAAACTCAATTACAGAGATAAAACTCAATTACTATCCTAACCTTGCTACCGATGCAGCAATTTTATATTCCAGGCTTAGAAAAAATCCTCCACCTTGGAGCCCAGAACATATAGCAGCTGTTCAGAAAATTAAGGCTAGAGTGAAAACTCTACCATGTCTTTCTTTACCAAATCCAGCATGGAAAAAAATTGTTGAAACTGATGCATCAAATCTTGGTTTTGGTGGCATACTAAAACAATTTAATCCTAACAGTAACAAAGAAGAACTTTTAAGATTTCATTCTTGTATTTGGCATCAAGCTGCCAAAAATTATCCAACTATTAAAAAAGAATGTTTAGCCATTATTAAATGTGTCTTAAAATTTCAGGATGATTTATTAAATCAACATTTTTTAATCAGAGTTGATTGTTCTGCAGCTAAACAAATTTTCAAAAAAGATGTTGAAAATCTTGCCCAAAAACAACTTTTTGCTACATGGCAGGGCCAACTTTCAGTATTTGATTTTGATATTGAATATATCAAAAGAGAACATAATTCTCTTCCAGATTTCCTAACCCGCGAATACTTGCAAGGTTCACCTCATGTAGAATAGAGGTCGGGGCTCCGGCAGAAGGGGCCGCGGTAGGGGCAATCCCTATCATACAGAATTTCCAGGCCTTAGTGCCACTTCTAGTAAAAAAAGGGAATCTAGCCAAACAGCTAAAGATGTCCTTCTTGCTCTTCCAGTACCATATGTCCAGAATTTCATTATTGAGGAAACAGTCCTCTATATTGAAAATACAGATATCCAATGGATGAAAGATCCATGGGAGATTAAAAGGAGGTATTTGACTACTCAACATTCATTACCTCACTTTGATCAATACAGATACATCTATGAGCAGATCCTTGTCGATATTGCCTCTGTTGATTTCAAACATACTCTAGCTGAGCCCAATCGCACAGCTAGTCCCATTAATTACAGCAAAGCTACTATCCAGTAGATTTTACCGATGCCGGCCTGGGGCATGCATCCTCATGTTACCCGTACTCTTGAGATCCATAATAAGGAATCTTGTTACAGCTATTGGGATTATATTAATGCTTTTTCTCAAGCCTTTTATTATATGAATTCCCCATGGAACCATTCTTGGTTTATTCGTGTCCTTCCCGACCTTTTACAAAACGATCTCCCCAACTGGTTTCTCGTGTGGTGGGATAAGTTTGGTATCCAAATTGATGCATTTCCAAACAATGTTCGCACTGCATTCAAATAATGGCAGGTTGCATACAGTCACCTTCCAGGCTATAAGGATATATCTATGTCCAAATCTACAATCCATTTTGTTATTCGCTTTAGTATCCCCTGGATTTGGAAATGGGATTTCCAATGTGACTTCCAGAATAAAATTCCTCATTTAAAAAGAGTTTTCTTTTATAAATGGTGGAATAAGATGGATGACCCCAAACCCCATCAGGATTTACTCCAAAAAATTAAAAGCCATACACAGGCCTGCTGGGATGCTGTTCCTAAGGCTATCCCAGCTGCACCTCTAGTTCAGAACCCTTTTGTCCAAATTCGAAATGAATTAAGGCAAAAATTTCCAGCACTTTCAGAATCTGAATTAATCATCAAAAGTATGGATTTTATGAAAGAACAATTTCGCCAGTCTTTTTCCCGAGATGATATCAGTATGAAGTCTGGTACCAGTCATGGCGATCCAGAAGAAGAAGGTCATACCGACCCCTATGATGATGACAATACATTCAATATATTGGCAGGAGAATCACAAAATCCAGACGACGAAGACACAAACCCAAATCTTGGTGATTTTTGGGATTCTCTCACGGGTATTATTGCAGAAAAGATGGCATGTGAAAAAGACAGAAAAGGAAAAGGAAAAGAGGAATAATACACCTCTTTGTCTTCCATTCATCCAACATCCCTTTCCAGCTCCACAAGACGCCAAGTCTGCTTTCGGCCAAAAGCAGATTCTTTTATCTGCCTAATCCTCCAGCTGTCCATCTGCCGACAATTCAAGATAAGGTAATCACGAGGAGATAAGATGCTCGACTCCAAACCAACCAGGGCACGCCACTTGTCTCGCTCATCCTTACCATTTACTTTTTATTTCTATTTAAGGGATGCCTCACCCTTGTTGAAGGCACGCTTTTCTTTCTTTGTTTTTCAGTTTTATAAGTGTGTACTCTCTCCCTCTCTCTCTCTTCAGATTGTAATATTCAAAGTTTGAAGTATAATATTGCAGTACTGATTGTAAGTATCTCTTGCCGTATTTTTCCTTTTAATGTATGTATGTATATACTCTTGCTATTCTGAATGATATGTTAACTTTTTATATTGAAAGAAAAAATAATTTTCTAAATAATTATTTATCTATCTGGCCTAATGATCCTTGGGGTCTCCAGCAATTAGAAATCTGTAATCAACAGATTAATCAGACCAAATTACAAATACAGGAACAAATCTACCTCTTGGCTGCGGCCGTTAGGCCTCTCCCTCCAGCACAGTAGATCATGAGACCATAGATGTCATAATTTAAATAAAATAAAATAAAACTATGATTAATACTATTCCTGGTTAAGTGCTTAGTAATGGGTAGAACAGTGTTAGGGTTAGTGGGACGTCACCCAAGTCGCGTAGAGGTTAGACTAGTAGCAGTGATTGCGGTTAGGTCATTCTCATAAGTCGTTGACAGACGTGCTAGCTTTACCCTGGTCAAACACCATTATTAAAAAATTACAAAAAGAGAGTATTTGTAATTTTTCAAATTATAAAGGACAAATTGTATTTTAAACATACCTCAAAAGGTATATTTATAATTTATCTTTTATAGTAAAGAGGTGTTTCTAAAACTTTAAAATGGAAGTTAGCCGCACACATTATATTTGTATTAATTATGAATTATCTACAAACATTTTTCTTTTCTTTTCTTTTTTTTTGTAATTGCTAATTTTGGTTAAATTACAACTATGATTGTTTTAGTGACAACTAAAAGTAGCATTCGCATATAGCTTTAAAAATTTGCTTATGACCCCAATGACTATAATTAATGGCACGATATGATATACATTTTTTTTACAACAGTGTACAATAAATTTTTCTATACATATTTTCAAAAAAAAAAAAAGTGCACACCATATGTCCCTGCACTTCTAGCCATTGAATTTGAATAAATAAAAGAAATGAATTATTGATCACAGTCAATGAGTTACATATGGCATGTCTGACACCTCGTTTAAGAGCAACATATAGTGCTCATGAAATTAATAAAAAAAGACTGGCTCAAAAGATGGTTTCAAATATAGGTTCACTCAACCACCACATTACAGTGTAGACATCAAATAGCCATTATATTAACAAGCTCTGGAAACCTAAACAGCCATGTAAATGAGCCAACTCGGAATTCAGATTTCTACGAAAATTTGTGTGCAACTTTATGGTAATCCACAGCAAGACAAGTAAAGCTTCCAAGGTACGGAATTCTGTTGTTAAATGTTGTTTCTCAGCTGCTGGAAGTAAAACTGATCTGAGCTTCGTGAGCATTGGACTTTAGTTGCTTGTACAGCTTTGTTCTCGAAAATGCTTCTAAGCTTTCTTGTAGATATGTCTGGGAAATTAGCTTCTTTTCACTGTGTATCAGGATAGCAACCTTTGCTTTTCTTAAAATTTATTCTCTCCCTTCTTAACCTGCACATAAAGGGAACAAAATCAATTTTCCAGATATAGAGACTTAAATCTTGTTACATTGTCTGTTTCCTTTTTCCTTTTTTCTTTAGTTCTAATCAAGGTTTTAAAAAGCGGCCGCAACCGTTACATGACGCCGTTACATAACGGTTGTTTTACGTAACGGTTGCGGTAGTTACCACCGCCTGTTATGGTAGCTTTTGCAGTATAATTGAGATTCACAGGTGTGCCGGCCGTAGCGACTGTCGTAGCGGTCGTAACGATGCCATAACAGTCGTAACGGCCGGTTATGCACCGTTACGTAACGGTTCCGAACTGCTTCTTTCAAAAAACACAAAAAAAAAAAAAGGCTTAAGATGGTGGAAGAGGGATAGAGAGAAGAGGGAAGAGGGAAGATAAAGAGAGAAGATGGAAGAGCAAGAGATAAAGAGAGAAAAGAGAAAAGATGAAGAACATGTTATTGATTTGTTGAAGCTGTAAGACCTATGCTATTCTATTCAGCTGCTATTACTCAAAAATAATAATAATAATAATAATAATAAGTGTGGTCATTATCTATTTGGTTTGGTTAAAATATATATATATTTAGGCTCTTATTTATTCTTTTACTTTTGTCATTGTTTATCTTATATATTATAGTTAGTGATTGATTTTTTGTATAATATAAAGTCATTAATTATTAAAATCAAATGTAAAAAACTCAATTTATAGTGATTTAAAAATATAAAATATATTGGATCATACTTAAAAATTTTAAAAAATTGATCAATATTTATTTTAAACCTAATAAATATGATCTTGGAAAAAAAATATACGTATCGGTAAATTTTTTTCAAATTGTGTGAAAAATAAAAAAATTTACGGTTCCGGTTACCGCAACCATTACGCTATGGCCTTTACACCCTGCAACTGCAACCTTGCCACCGCCACCGTTACGGTGACCGCAACCGCTTTTCAGAACCTTGGTTCTAATCTTTTTCCTCGTATGTTTGGAGTTGTTCAAAGCTGCAAGTTTCTATAGCCTTGCAACTCCGGAACACCATAATGGTTGTTATAGCGATCCCGGGTTTACCCTTGTTGTACAGTGATCCGGACAAGTGTCAATTTATTCTCTCTCTTCTTAACCTGCACATAAAGAGAACAAAATCAATTTAGATATACAGACTTTATTCTTGTTACTGTTTCCTTTTTCCCTTTTTCTTTAGTTCTAATCTTTTTCCCTGTATGTTTGGAGTTGTTCAAAGCTGAAAGTTTCTATAGCCTTGCAACTCCAGAACACCACAATGGTTGTCAAAAATCTACTTGGGTCAATTCAAAGCACTGTCAAAGCTCTAATATTCTGATCTGATCTGATCTGTTCTTGAAGAGACTCCCAGGGATAGAACTTAGAAACTAACAATCATTAAGATGTATGGACAGCTTACATGTTTATGAGCACAAGGGGCATCCAAATAATAAAAATTGACTAGCATACAGGTGTTCTATTGTTCCAGATGAATGCCCTGTTAAGGACAAGGGGAAAGCCAAAATGGACACAGAATGAATTCACAAAATATCCATTAAACTATAATAAAACAGGAGGACTCTTAAAATGGTTTATTTGAAATCATTTCACATGAGAAAGATAGGGTAGGTTTGGGAAGTGATCAATCCAAACGGTTGTCTTGTCAGTGGAAAAAGCATAATCCTTCAATGGGTTGCACCTACTTTGAATGGATGCGATTATTTACAAAAGGATATGAACAACACCTATTCATACTTTACCAATGCAGGAGGTTTTGTGCATTTCAAAGCATTGATTCTACACCCAACAGCATATTTTCTCTCTCACATTCTCTTGAGTGATACCTAGTCTAAGGACAATACAACCAAGGTTTTTCATTCTCTTTCATCAAGGTTTTAGACATTACAGTCTATGAAAAAATTCATTTCATCAAAGCAGACTTCAAATCTAGTTTGTGTGTTCTCCACAAGCCGGCGTGAGTTAATCAAATATAAAAATCACCTAGTACATAAACATATTTATGGAGGCAATTCAAGTGACAATAGATAGTTAAGGCTATGTTCATAGTGATAGTGTTTCTTCTGGGCAATCAACTAACAGTTGATTAAGTTTGAATAACTAGAGGTGGAGGTTTGACACAGACCATTTGACTAAAGAAACTTAGAGCATCATCAAGCTCATTAACATTACTAAGCCTAGATTTCGGTTTCACTAACAATGATCTAGGATTAGAAGTGTCTCTCTCTTCTAGTAGTATTAGTAGTACTAGTAATACATCAATGAGGGTGAAACCAAACTAATTTGTTCAAGGAGAAGAGAATAGAAGAACCTTTTGGGATGTAAATTGTAATGATGATGAATTAAACTTTGACTCTTGCCTTGTATGAAAAACAAACAACAAAGACCAAGCTCCCGCAACTGCAAATACTTCACAAATTTCTGGATTCAACAAGAAATTCTTCCTGGTCCAAGATTATGCATCCTTTAAAACTCCATCAAGAATCTGATTAATCTCCCAAATTAGCACCTGGCTCCTTCAAACAAAATCCCTGCACCATTAACACATTAAGAGTGCAAATTAAAACAAGATCGATAAGTCAGAACCAGACCCTTAAGACCTTTCACTTAAAGCTTTAGCTTTAGTTTTGTGGAGCATGCTACATAGTGGGTGTTTGGGAAGTAGGTTTTTATGTAGGTTTTTTTAGTTATAGGATATTATTGGAGAAATTTTTTTTTGTGTTTGGGAAGATAGTTGGGTTTTTTTGTAGTTAGATGTGATGTTTGTGAGAGAAAAAGTGAAATAATTATGGGGTTTGATGTGATATTTTGTTTGGATTTGTTTTTTTTTTTGGTTTTGCAAAAACTTTGTCTTTTAGTGGAAAAAATAAAAAAAAACCCAAAAAAAACTGTTGCCAAACACCGCTATAATACTCTAGCTCGAATTTTAAAAATTAAAAATTAAAAAATAAAAAACAAGAGAAACTAAATTTTGTTTTATAATGATACTAGGGGTAACCAGTGCCTAAAGGCACTTTCAACAAATTTTTTTGGTACCACACGCTCTAGAGAACTCAATTAAAATAGACCAATTCAAAATGGCAACAATTTTCATTGCGCTATAGAATTCAATTGTAATAAATCAATTCAAAATGACAACAATTTCACTCCAATTTAAAACTTCACACATAAGAAGTTGAAATAGCAAATTAAAGTTTCGCAAACTTCAGAATTAAAATTAGCAAACTTCAGAATTAAAATTTAAATAGCAAAATTTAGAAATAAAAATGTTATTGTGTTCAACATAAGCAAAGATGTCCACATCAAAACAACACATGTAGTGACGTTTTTAAATTAGTATCATAACGGGGTAAGCCTTTCACTTTAGCAAATTTCAATCCCTTCGAGAAATGGTAACTGAATATTTTGGTAAAAAATAATAATCATCCTAGCTTATTAAAGAAGAAGAAGAAGAAGAAGAAGAAGAAGAAGACTAATCATCTAATTTGGAATGAAACAACCAACCACCATCAACACACACAGAGAAAAGCAACACAACCCCAATGTTTCTAATGCGGATCAATAACCTGCGACAAAATCACTCCAACGCTTGAATTCAGTTTAAAAAATCAGCTAAAAGAAATCAAAACAAGAAAAATAACATCAAAATACTTATGAGAAACAAGAAAACCAATAACTATGAATTAACATAATAAAATTCCAACATAACTCTTATTGATAAAAAGCATCTCAAATTACCTGCAATTATCAACAAAACAGGAATGTTGAAGGTGTAGAAATTGACTAGAATGCTTAGAAAATGCAATTTACCAATAAGAGGGAAAGCGAGGTCGTAAAGAAACATTTTCAAAATAGGGTGTAAAGCTTTGTTGAATTGAGAGGAGGGGGGGGGGCAGGTCGCATTTGGATCAGCAATTCGCATTTGCAGTCCTGAATCATACTAATATTTTAATTGTTAAAAATAATACTAATATTTTAATTGTTAAAAGATTAAAATAAATAAAAGTACTTCCAAAACCATACCAATTGATAAAAATTTTATTCAACAACCATCTTGGGACTAAAAAAAGCTGCGATGTAAACATTTTGAAGGTTGTTGAACCTCTTTTAAAAAAGGGGCAATTACACTCTAGTGTAATTTAAAAAAAAAAATAATAATTACACAGGTGAAAAAATTTATTATTTTTTATATTAAAAATATATATATATGATTTTAATTTTTAATATTTATAAAGTTTATCACTAATTTGTAATTATTTTTTGTCCACATAATAACAAGATATGAACTTGATAAAATGAATCAAACCAATAAAGTGAACCAAATCAATACAATCCAAAACACAAATAAAAAACAAAGAACATTCTTGAATCAACCTCATAATAGGATAAAAAATTACAGGTTATAAGGCATGAAAGTAAAAGCAAGGGAATTCCAAAAGCAAAATAGTTTTTGAAGAACAATTATTAACGGAATCCAAATTATAAAATAAAAAATTTAAAAAAAAAAAACAACGGAGGCTAGCTTTGGTACTAAATCACTGCAACAAGAATAAAAGACACGGTGATTTCATTGACACACAGAGCTAATCATCCTAATATACATGACCTTAACAGACTCACAATTCATCATCATCATCATCATCATCAACATAGATGTTTATATTTTGCGGATTGAAGCATCTTCAAAATAAGCGAATCACACCTCGAAATATAAAGACAAAAATAAGAATCTAAAATCCAATTTTTATTTTTATTTTTTTTTCAAATTTCAAACCAAAAAAATTATGAAAAATATAATTAATACAACCAGATTCACAAAAAAAAATATGAAAGGAAAGCCTTCATAGTAAATCAACCAACAGACTTGCCACTCCAGCAAGAGGGAAAGGCAAGATAGCTTACAATGTTCTACCTAAAACAAACTAATCATCAAACAAACAATAGCAACCAATGAAAAAAACCCTTCGGAAGTCTTACCACTCTCTTCCTTTCGAAGTACTTTTTCATCTTAATCAACCACCAATCTTTTAAACAATCATTTTCAAAAAAATTAATAATAGTGACTTTAAGGGAAATTCTATAAAGTGTACTACTAAAGAAGGTACATTGTAAGAAAGTTACAATTTATTTATTCATTTATTTTTTTAAGTTATGCTATGTTAATTTGTGGTAAAAGTTACGAACAGTGAATTTATGGTGTGCACCCTAAAGTGAAAGTGATACTTTTGTGGTGAGAAAAGAACTGTCATGTTACAAAATTTTGTAATAGTGTTATGAAAGACATACCATATGCACCTTTTTACATAGCATCTCCCGAATTTGAAACTAATGAAATACTATAGAAAGAATTATAATTTGAGAGTACTTTAGGAAGCTTCTTATTGTTTTCATAAATTATGACCTATTCCATTGAGTGTTGTTGATCATTACGACCTTTTTCAATCATGATTGAACCCATTGGGTTAAATCCTAGCTATTGAATGGTAATGGTTCCTATAGTAAGCTTTAGTAAAGCATCAAATTGAAGCATTGTTTCCACAGCAATTTACCAAAAATTAAGGAATCCCTATTCACAACAATGAAGGCATATTAATTCATTTCAATTGTTAGAAATAGTATACAAAAAATTACAAATAATTGGTTTTCTTTAAAGAACTAAAAATTATAAACCTTAAACCTTTATGGCACATATACATATAGACAAGAGAAAAATTAAATGCATAAATGTACAGGCAAAATTATACTAAAAACAAAGAGATCTCTACAACGTTCATAACAATGAAAAGAAAAAAATCTTAATCACAAAATATTTATCCGACTTCAACCCAAAAAAGAATTGCCACTATAGCAATCTAATAGAAAAAGCAAGAAGATAATTTGCAAACGCAAAACTTGCAATCTAAGAGCATCATGGCAAACCTCAAAAAACACACTGAAACAAAATTTATGTTGATCAAACATGGAGACATACTTTGCAATCTAATAGTATACACAAAACTCTCAATTTAATAGAATTAACCCAAAACTCGAAAAATATATACATAATTAAAACTGAAAGCACTTATAATACCTAAAAAGCAATCAATGTCATCAATGGACACAATAGTTCTAGAAAAAACTTCAAGTACCATCAACACCATTTAGTTATAGACCTCAAGTACCATGAACAATAAACTTGAAAAAAAAAACGAAAAAGACAGAGAGAGAGAGAGAGAGAGAGGAAAGAGTAAAATCCCTTAACTAAACAATAACCAAAAAACAAAGAATTAGTAACCAAAATAATAACCCTAAATATGTCATTATCCACTATCTAACAAAAATCTACCAGAGATATTCTCATGGACCTAGTAAACATAGCTAGGTGAATGGAAGCAAAAATAGGGGAGAATGAGGAAAAGAATCAATAAAATAGCATGAAAAACAGGTGTGCTTACTCTATGGATGTTGCTCCTCTATGACCTAAGCTAAAAGAATCAAACAATGATGGGTTTTTATACCAGCAAAGTACAAACAATGATATCAAAAACCCAAAAATCATTGACCTACAACAAACAAAAAATTTAAATATCATAAACTAATTCAAAAGAAATCCATAACTATGCCCTTGAATTCAAACTTCAACTTCGATTTGCGACCTGTCTTGACCCAGCTTCACCATTATATGTGCTGAAGAACTGTAACGCCCTCAAAATAAAGTACAAACAATGATATCAAAAACCCAAAAATCATTGACCTACAACAAACAAAAAAATTAAATATCATAAACTAATTCAAAAGAAATCCATAACTATGCCCTTGAATTCAAACTTCAACTTCGATTTGCGACCTGTCTTGACCCAGCTTCACCATTATATGAGCTGAAGAACCAAGGGATTCTATAAAATTGAAAGAAACCTATGGTGGTGTGTTTTGGCTTGTGGTGGCGGAGGAAGGTGGTGCAACAGCAAGAAAAATGTTGGGTTTTGGGTGTGATGAGATTGGTGGTGGTTGAGTAGCAATGGTAGATTGAAAATTTGCTCTTCGAATCAGTGGATTCAAGTGGTTGTTGACATGTGATTGGTTGTTGAAAGCAATCAGAGAGAGTGAAATAGGTAAGAGATTGGAGGGTTCAAAAGCGATGAACCAACTGCGTCTAATCCAAAACCTTCTGATTATTGAACCATAAAAGAGAATGAAGGAGGAAGTGTGTCAGAGAAACAGAGAGTGAGACTGAGAGAAGGTGTGTTTGAAATTTGAAATTCAAATGAGAGAGAGAGTTGAACAGAAAGGGATGGGTTGGAAGAACAAACAAAAGGAGAAAATGTATCCTCCACCATAGGATGTATGCCAAACAAACAATCTCAACCATTAAAAGACAATTTGTTTTTCAGACATTTTTAGACCATTAGATTGTGTCAATCCTAACTGTCACGCCCTCAAAATAAACCAAATGAGAGAGCTGGACAGAAAGGGATGGGCTGGAAGAAGAAACAAAAGGAGAAATGTATCCTCCACTGTAGGATGTATGCCTAACAAACAATCTCAACCATGAAAAAACAATTTGTTTTTTAGACGTTTTTAGACCATTAGATTGTGTCAATCCTAACCATTCAAAGTGACATCTAGGACAAAATTGTATTACATTTTCAAAAAGCTAGGTGCTTTATTATATAGATAATTGTGTTAGACTTAAGAGCCAAAAGATATAAACTACGTCAAATGAAACCAAGTCTACATGATCATTCTCTATCCATTTTTAACCAATGTTTTTAAAAGTCAAATCCTTCCACATGTTATACCTAGTGTAAGAGAAGAGCCCATACTTAATCCCAACAGTGAAATCATAAATAAACCAAATGGTGCATGTTTTCTTAAAAGCATAAGAAATATTTCAATAGTTGATCAAGTCAACAACCCATACATGACCTTAAATTGGAGCAAACCATGGATGAACTTCTGATAGGCATTTTAGTCAACAAAAGAATATATAGTGTACCAATAAATAACAAAAGAATAATATAAAAAAAACATAATTTTTGAATAGCTTAGAATAAAAGGAACAATTGTCAATTCAACAAGTATTTGTTCTTGCTAATGAATTATGTCAGCACCGCTTCTTGTGAATGGGGTTGCTTGGTACTGTGTCGATATGGACATTCAAAGGAGGGGAATCAAAAAATTTGTCACAAGGAGAGAGAGAGAGAGAATTAGGAGGCATTATACACAAGATACACATAATATAAATTATGAAAACATGTTGCAAAGTCACATAGCAACAAGTCCAAAATAGTTGATGGAGATGCATAAGCCCATGTAAATCCATAACCAAAAAAAAAAAAAGGAGCTTCACTTAATAATATATAATTTAAGATGTGTGTACCGTTACCTTCATAGCTTAAGAAATTTACTCAATATCATGCATTCCATGACTATCTTTTGGCATGAACTTCTTTATCACTTCTCGGAGAGCAGGATCTTGTCCTTTAGTTGAGAGTATATCTACGATCAAGGGAAAATTGAATGCATCTGCCGAAAAACCCCTTTGAACCATTTCCTCAACGAGTATTAATGCCTCATAGCACTTGTGTTGTCCAATAAATCCTCGGATAATAGTGTTGTAAGTGACATCATTTGGCAAACAACCACTCTGTTCCATTTTAACAAACAACTCTTTAGCTTCATGCAGTAGGCCTTCTTCACAAAGACCTCGGATCATCATAGTGTATGTCTTAACATTTGGTTGTAATCTCTTGGAAGAAAGGTTACTGAAAATGGCCCTTGCAGTGTCAAGCTTTTTATCCTTGCAGAATGCATCAATGAGGATATTATACTTAACAATATCAAGATGTAAACTGTTGCTTTCCATCATGTGGAATAATGACAATGCTTCATAAATATGCCCATTTTTACACAACCCATCCAATAAGATACCATAAGTTTGAGAATCTGGATATATGCCTGCAGCTTGCATATCATTGAAAAGTTTTTGAGCAGCTCCACATCTACCCGTTTGAAACAAACCCCATAACATAGCGTTGAAAGTTAAATTGTTGGGTTTCAACCCGCTTCGAGGCAATGCTCGAAAGAGAAGCATGGCCTCATCTATTTTCATTTTCTTGCAATATCCATTGATTAGAATGTTATAGCTAAAAACATCAGGGTGAAGGCCCCTCTCCACCATGGTATTCAACACTCTGATTGCTTCATCCATTTGGCCTTGCAAACAATATCCATCCATTAGAGTACTGTATGTGACTACATCAGGATCCACACCGCTTTGTATCATGCCTTCAAGTACCCCCACTGCCTCTTTCATCTTGCCTTCCTTGGTACATGCATCCAGCAACACATTATACGTACGAACATCCGGAGCAATACCACCATCCAACATTTCTCTGAACATTCCAGTAGCCTCCTTCCACCGGCCAAAATTACATTACATAGACCATGAATCAAGGAGGTATAAGTGACAACATCTCGATGAATGCCTTGTTGATTCATCTTAGAAAAGAGTTTCATAGCATCATCCACCATTCTATCCTTGCAAAGACTGTCAATGATCGTGGTATACACTACGGTGTTAGGTTTACAACTTCCCTCTTCCATTATCCTAAGCAAACTAACAGCCCTGATAGTGTTCCCCGTCCTGCAGAGCGCATTGACAATGGTTCCATACATAACCACGTCGGGTTCAATTTCTCTAGTTCTCACTAATTTCTTAAATAACTCCACAGCTTGAGGAGTTTTATCTTGCAAAATAAGCCCATTAATCAGAGTTGTGAAGGTAGTTACATCAGCTGTATAACCGCGTTTGAAGAGGGTACCCAAAAGAGACAACCCAAAATCGGCTCGATTAAGGTGGCAGTAACAGTTAATAGCAATGTTAAAGGTGTAGAAATTGACCTGAATGCCTTGGAACCGTTGCAACTTGTTCTGAATAAGAGAAAGAGCAGTGGCGTAATGACCCATTTTCAAAATAGAGCCTAAAGCTTTATTGAATTGAGAAATTGTGGGCAAAGGTCGCATTCGGAGCATGCGATTGAAGGAAATTAAAGCGGAATGAAGATGATTGGGACCCAAATTGCATGGTTGTTTGGGTAAGGCTTTAGGTTTAGGTTCGCGTCCTTGAGGAGGAGAAGTAGGGTTTTTGGTGGTGTTCGAGAGAGAACGAAACAGAACAAATAGAGATGGAGATGTGGAAGTACCTTTTAATAGCCAATGATTGTAGTAAGCTATTCTTGGTCCAATAATGGAAGAAATAGAAATTCTTCTTCTTCTGCTTGACATCTTCTCCAGGCTCAGCTCTGTGCGTGTGCGAGGAGAGAGAGAGGGAGTAGTAGATACTGATGTGTAGCAACTGAATACTTGCTTCGTTTGGTTTTGGCCTTTGCTTTTGTTTTTTTTTTTCTCTTTGTACTGTCAGCTCATTATTTTAGTGTCTGTATCACCATTGTTTTTATAATTTATTTTCTGAGATTTTTTTTTAAAAAATTATTAATTAATTTGAACAAAAATAAATATTATTTTTTAAAAAAATTTAAAAAACTATTTCTACCTTCAAAAAATATAATATCATTTGAAGTTTATGAATATTTTTAAATTTAAAATTTCAATAAAAGTATTTCAAGAAAACATATTTTAAAAATTAAACCAAACAAATAAAACTTGTTATTTATTTTTATTTTTTTTGGTTTGTTGTTACCTTTTAAAATTTAAATAGTAAATTATAAATACACTTCTTGAAGTTTGCTTAAATTATAATTTGTCCTTTGTGATTTTAAAAATTACATCTCGCCCTTTGAAATTTTTAATTTCATAACAAATGACTATTTTTATTGATAAATCAAGTTAATTATTAATTTTTAATGATGTCAAAAATTTATTTTAATTAATAATTCAGGTAATTTTATCATTGTATAGGAGAACAATTAGTAATTTTATTTTTTCAGTTAATTCTATTAAATAAAAAAAATTCTAACAATTAGGTATTTGTAATTTTTTATACTATAAGGGGCAATTCATGTTTTAAGCATAAGGTGTATTTGTAATTTATCCTTTTAAGCAGGGAAATAATATTGTACACAATCTTCAAATGGGTGTACCAAATGCACCTTATAACTAAAGAAGAAAATGACATAATTTCATACTTTTTAAGTCATAACTTAAAAAAAAAAAGATGTCATAACTAAACACAACATGAGATATAACTAAAGATCTTGTGAGACATAACTAAAATAATGTCATAACTAAAGAAAAAGATTTGTCATAACTAAAAAAGAAAATGACATAATTACGAATGCATATGGTATACCCCTTTTAAGGGTGTGCATATTAGAATTTTCCTTTTCAGTAAACAGGTGTTTCTAAAATTTAGAAATAAAAATTAACCACATGCATTATATTGGTATTAATCATGAATTATGCACAAATATTTTTTTTTTATGACTAGGTATTCAGGTTAGTTTACGTGCACCACGACTAATTATGGGACTCATGCAAATCTTGGACAAAACTAGCGGGTGAAAATAATGGTTATGAGGGTGAAAATAACAAATTATCAAATTAATGTCCGTTATGATCAATTACAGTGTTTTAGTTAAGTTACAACTATGATGGCTTCAGTGACGACTAAAAATAGCATTCAATTATAGTTTAAAATTTTAGTTTATGACCCAAATGACTATAATTAATGGCACGCTTGTTTTTATATTTTTAGTTTTAATTGTCGAAAGTGAAAGTATATACGGTATAGATTTTTTTACAACTATGTATAATAAACTAGGAATAGACACGGCCAACAGTTTCTTTGGTACCACAAGTACTACAAATCTCAATTATATTCAAAATGACAATACCACTCCAATTTATAGCTTCATAGATAAGAAGCTGAAATTGTTTCCACATATTGAACTAGCAAAAGTATTCATAAATTTCAAATAGCAAACTTCAAAATTAAAGCCCAAATAATAAATTTTATATTTCAGTGTAGCATAATCAAAGAATCTAAAAATATTTGCTAGATTTTAAGTCCAAATAGCAAATTTTAAAATTTAATCCACATAAAAATGACACATTGTACACACTTTATTTTGACCGGCCCTAAGACTTGGGCACTTTCTTTTGACCACCCGCTGATGAAAATTGGAATATGCTATTTTATGAATTTCTCAGCTGAAAAAATCAGATTGAAACTTTATTCCCAAACCTCATCCGTTTTGGCCAAATTATTTTATATCACTAAATATTTTTAATTTGTAGCATTTTATAAATTTATATAATGTTATGTTCTTGTACATGTTTTGAGATGGTGTTATATAAATTGATACATTTTAGCTATTTGATAAATAAAAAATATATATATATATAAAAAGAGAAAATAATGAAAAACAAAAAAGAAAAGAAAAGTTAGAGCGTGGTCAGGGATATTTTTGGGGAGAAGAGAAAGAAAAGACAGAGAGACTATTATTATGACTTTCGGTGATGGTGGAAGAGAGGAGTCCGGATCCTCGGCCGCGTATTCCTACGGCCATTCCTGCGGCGCCCCAAAACGGCGTCGTTTTGGGGCCAAATTTCAATAAAAAAAAAATACAGAACAAAAGCAAGGAAGGAAGAAGAAGTAAGGAAGGAAGAAGGGAGAAGAAATCTCCTTCTCCAACTGCAAGACCCACCTCCCCCAAAAGCCCTATTCTCTAGTCCGCCACCTTCCTCTTCAATCTCTCTCTCTCTCTCTCTCTCTCTCTCTCTCTCTCTCTACAATGGAGAATCAACACCGGTTGAAATTGCGAATCTCTCGCATGCTCCGATCATCGTTTAGGTCTTGCAAGTCTCGAAACATCTCAGGCGATGTCAAGCGACCCATTTTCGTACCCTATCGACACCACCAATTGATCGAACTCTTCTCTCCCAAATCCCCTAAAATAGAGCTCTGTTCTTGGCTCAAAGTTTCAGACTGAAACTCACTTCTCACTCTGCCCAACACCTTCAGCCGAAACTTCCTTCCGACATCACCCATTTCGCCTCTAAACTCGTTCTTCTAGTTTCAACGATCAGAGTCGATTCAGAACCAGAAAAGGCCAAGAAAGAAGACAAAGAAGACAACCCATTTAATCAAAAAAGGTAGTTTTGGGCTTCTCTCTCTCTCTCTCTCTCTCTCTCTCTCTCTCTCTTTGTATTCAGTTTTCTCTCTCTCTCTCTCTCTCTCTTTGTATTCAGTTTTGGGGAAGGTGGGTCTTACAGTTGGAGAAGAGATTTCTTCTCTATTTTTCCTTCCTTGCTTATTCTTCCTTCCTTGCTTTTGTTCTATATATTTTTTTTTAATTGAAATTTGGCCCCAAAACGACACCGTTTTGGGGCGTCGCAGGAATGGCCTTAAGAATATGCGGCCGAGGATCCGGACTTGGAAGAGAGGGCCAAGGAGATTTTTATTGTTTTGATTGGGGTGGGTGAGATAGAATTTCAAAAGAAGACACACAATGCACATGGAGGGCTATCTGGTTGATGATTAAAAAAAAAAAAAACCTCTCTCTCTGAACTATCCCTGTGAACTATTTTCGGATATGAACCAGAGATACTTCTTGATACCAAAAAAAAAAGAGGAGAGCTGTGTAAAGTGAAGTTTGAAATGGTGGCCTAAAGAAGAAGTTTGGTATATCTCTGTGTTTTCTTCAGAAAATTACACAGACAAACAGAGAGGTACATGCAAAATCTCTCTCTCTCTCTCTCTCTCAGCAAAGAGCTGCTGAATGGTATTCAGACATTTGCTTCTTCAACCTGTTCGTCAGTCAGGGATAGACTTGCAGCTCCATACCCCTTTTTCCAGCCTTGCCTTCAGTGTGGCAGCCCCTCTCAAGGCTGCATTAGTTATCAAACCGACAACTGCCAAGATCTGGTCATGCTCAGCTCCCATTTCCTCTGCAATCTCAATACAATGTGAAGCTACCAGAGCCGCTGCAGATGCCATTGCAGTAGACTGAAAGATCATAATGAGAGGAAGAAGCAGGAGCTTAGAACCCACAATGCCCAACTTCACGCAGCTATGTCTGTGGCTGGTGTTGCTGCCTCGTCTGTGACGTCCCCTGAAATATCCGAAGCTGCCCAACTCTCAACAGGTTTGCATGGAGAAGGAACTTAACACAAATTCTCTGTCTCTTCATTCTTCTTTTCTCTCGAACAGTGGGGTTGTTGGTCATATGTTCTATGTTCTCTTTTACCTCAGGATACTTCAATGATCTTCATCTTTCTTCCTTTGCACCTCCATCACCGTGGTGGTCTGTTGTATGTTTGGTGGGTGTTCAGAGATCATCGGCGTGTTCTGGTTGCTGAAGTGTTGCTACTTTGCTTCGGCTAGTTCATCTTTCTCTAGTTCTAGAGAGAGAACGATGATGGCGGGGTGTGCTAGTGGAGGTGGTATTGTTGTTCATGGCTGTGGTCTCTTCCCCCGTGGTCCTCTGTTTTCGTTCTCTATGAAGGTGTTCTCATCATTCATGGGAGTAGTTGAGTCCAGGGAGATTTTCACTGGGCTCAATTTTCATTGGAAAAAAGGTGTGAAATGTGTCAGTGGGCTACTGAGTTAGGTTATTAATTGTGGGCATTTATTTTTTATTTTGAGTGTTTTGTGAGATTTTATTTTATTTTATTATTCCCTCCTCTCTCTCTCATTTGGATTTGTAATATTTAAAGTGTTGTAATAATCCCTCATCCCGCTTCTTTCTATCCCATTCTTTAATCGCTTTCCTTAACTGTACATATATATATATTTGACATGCTATGCTTATCTATGCTTCGCATCCATATTTCATGCATTAAGATTCAGCTAAGTTTGCATTTGTGGATTTAATCAATTCTTATGTGATTCTATGCGCTACCTCATGTTCTTGAGATGATTCACATGTCATATCTTAGAAGTCGAATCTTTAGTTGCATCTCGTGAGTGAATTGCATTAGGATTTTGTATATAGGATCATGCATATTTTACTAACTTTATTTTGTAGTTGTTCGTGGGACGTCAGTATATATGTGAGTTTTTATATTTTAGCATCCCGCTTGTACATAATTGTCTTATTATGTTTAGCATCCTACCATGAAGCTAATTGCTTAAATGATAAACTGTTTGAATGCTTATGGATGAAGGCTTGTTGCTTGAATTGGAATGATTCAACGAATATACGTTTTAAGCCCACTTTGTCAAGTGTCAAATTCAAACTCTTTTCGACAAACAAACATGAAATTGAATTGTTCCAATTTGAGTAAACTAGTCTATACTTGTATGCTTCACATAGTAATTTTTA